ATGAAAAGTTTGAAAGCAAAGAGGTTATAAATGTGAACCAAAGAGAACAGAATGTTGTTAACTAGGAGGAAAAGACTGCAAAGCCAAGTAAAGAGAAATAATCTTAAATACAAATATTTAAGTAGTCAATGAAATGAGGACTTTTTACTGTTGGACAATACTTGGTTGTGGATGTTTGTATGAAGAGGATGCTAATGGATAACAAAGTACTCTGATATTTGAGCAATATGACAATCCAAAAGGTCAGTGCTATTATGGGCTATACAGGAAAAGAAAGTACTCAAAATTTGACAGATGGAGGGAGAAAAGGGTCCTGGAATTTAGGGAAAACATCATTTGGGCACCTGATTCCCCAGTGTCTTCTCATTATTTCATATCTTGAAGCCAAGATATGAAATAGAGTTATCACTTAGTAATATTAAAAAGTCTCTACAGGCTAGTATTGACCAGTCTCTATATTGTTAAGACCAAAACCAGAGTAGATTCTACTCTCTTGCCAATTTACAAATTAACATATGGTTTTTTTATAGTGAAGGGTTTAGAACTCTAAAAGATGGATGTTAGTAGAAGAGATATTCCTGGCCTCCCCTGGTGGCGCAGCGGTTGAGCGCTGTGCTGCAAAGCTGCCCACAGCCTCAGCAGAGCCGGTTCGATCCCCGGCCGCCAGCGAGGGTCCCACATGGCATGCAGACCTCTCCTGCCGCCCGCTGCTCCCCTCAGCGGTGTATTTCATCAGTCTGTCTGTTCTGTTCCCCGCTCTGGCTCTGGTGAATTCTCTCACCCTCCTGCGCTTCTGACTAATACCCAGTGCTTGTATAATAAATAAATAAATCTTTAAAAAAAAAAAAGAAGAGCTATTCCCACTCTTCAAATTTTTCTTCTCAGATATCATTATGTTACAGGTAGATATTAAGGACCCTAGTTTCTCAGTTCTCTGCTGGTGAGATCTCTATCCTTAAGTTATGTTAAACAGCAGAATCAGATGCCTTCTTTGTCTAAGGAAGAATGGTTAGGAGTCTAAAGTAGGGGCCTCCCTGGTGGCCCAAGGGGTTAGATACAGCACTATGAGGCTCTCTGCAGCCATTGCAGCATGAGTTTGATCCCTGACCAGAGAGGTGACCCACATGGCACCGTAGACCTCTCCTGTCTTGCCCGATGCTCCCCTCAGCAGTGTATTTCAGTCCATCTGCCTGTTCTGCTCCCCACTCTGTCTCTGGTGAATCTGCTCACCCCCCCCCCACCACCTCTGGCCTGTACCCCAGTTTTGTATGCATAAGTAAATAAATAAATAAATCTTTAAAAAAAAAAAAAAAAAGAGCCCACAGCAAATCTCCACAGGCACATTGTGGCACTGCTTCTCTCTTTTGAGATCACTTGCTGCTCTTTTCTATACCTGAGGTGAGAAGTAATGATTAATGACAGGTACGACTTGTCTTTACTTGCTGGAGGGCCTCAAAGGTGGACTTTTCTTTCTAATGGGATCATTACAAAGAGGCAAGAATATATAAATTCTTCTGACAGGGTATGATGTAAAGACTAGAACATCTGGTTGTTTTTTTTTAACATCTCATGTTTTTATGCTTTCCCTTATCACCATTTGCCTAAGTTGTATTTGGGAAGAAAATGGCCTGTGCTTTACACATGCTTCCTAAAGATAGTTTATCAAATCACTTTGTGCAAACCTGAAAAAATAAAGCATCTCAACATGTAAATGATCAAGATACTCAGGCTTGCCTCACAAGATTGTCCAGTAGTCCTTTCCTAACCCCTCAACTTAAGGTCCCATCTTCCTTTCATGAAGATGATAGCACCAATCCCAAATCAAAAGGATTTGAAGTTTTTTTTTCTTCAAAGATTTATACAAGAACCGGGGTATAGGCCAGATGCGCGGGAGGGTGGGAGGATTCACCAGAGACAGAGAGGGAAACAGAACAGGCAGATTGACTCAAATACGCTGCTGAGGGGAGCAGCGGGAGAGACAGGAGAGGTCTGCTCACCATGTGGGACACTCGCCGCCTGGCCAGGATCGAACTGGAGCTGAAGAGGCTGTGGACAGCTTCACAACGCGGTGCTTAACCGCCTGCGCCACCAGGGAGGCCCAGATTTGAAGTTTTGAGGTACTTTTTCAATAGAAGGGGCACAAAGGAAAGCTTTCATTTGTGTTGGGATGGAATATATAACATGAGAGAAAGCATTGCGTTGGTAATTAACCCCATCTTTGCAGGAGTTCCTAGAAACTTATTCAGTGTGTAACAGGATGCTATTTTTCTTTCAAAGCTTAGTGTGCTTTTTTGTCACTGGAAATGATTTTTACAGTGAGTGCCAATATGTTTCTAAAACTTAAAGAGCAAAATGTGTTGCCACTGATGTTTTGTTGTGTAGAACTGAAAGGTATGTGTGAAAGGCAGAGCTGGGGGAGGTGTTAGATAGATTTTCAGATTAGATTTACCCCAAAAGAAAATATTTTGATGCTCTTAATATGTGTGCTATTCATCAGAGATATTACCTCTGAATTGCTTCCCAGTGCACATTTGAGCAGCAATTAAAAACTTGATAAATGAAATAACAGGCATAGATTATGTATTAACTATCTCAATGGCCCACATCATCAACTAAGCAATAAATCTTTGGAGAAAAAAATTGGTGACTGCTTTTTTTATTTTTTTTAAAGATTTATTTATGCATACAAGAGCTGGGGTACAGGTCAGAGATGAAAGTGTGCGAGGACCCACGGGAGACAGAATAGGGAACAGAACAGGCAGACTGACTGAAATACACTGCTGAGAGGAGCAGTGGGTGAGACAGGAGAGGTCTGTGCGTCATGTGGGTTGCTCCCTAGCTGGCAAGGGATCAAGCTGGAGCTTGTGCTGCAGAGGCTGTGGATTGCTTCATAGTGCAGTGCAGTGCTTTTTTTTTTTTTTTAGATTTATTTATTTTTATACAAGAACTGGGGTACAGGCCAGAGATGTGTGTGTGTGAGACAGAGAGGATTCACCAGAGACAGAGTGGGGAACAGAACAGGTGGATTGACTGAAATACACTGCTGACTGAGGGGAGCAGCGGGGGGAGACAGGAGAGCTCTGCTGTGCTGTGGGGTGTTGAACCGCAATGGCTGCTGATAGCTTCATAGTGCTGAGACTTACCTCCTTGCGCCACCAGGAAGGCCCAGACCTCAGCGTTTTAAAAGACACAGTGTCTTCACAAGTCATGGAGGACCTAGCTCAACACTGACTTCTCTGGAATATTTCTATAATCACATTTTTTTGGTCTCCTTTATTTTCTTTCTATACAGGTCTCTTGGATATCAAGGAGGATGGTAGGTAGGAGGGATTCTGAGGATAGCTGAATTGCTTAAGAAAAAAGTGAGATAATGCCCTTAGTCACTTACTTGGCAGAGGCTCAAATTTCAAAGGGAAGGAGCAGGCTGGCTCAATTTACCCTGTTAAAGTTCAGGGGGTTTGCATACTTATCTCTCATTCCATCCTCCTGATAACTTTGTGAAGTACATTTTAAAATTCCCATTTATAAAGAAAAAGGTGAGGTTCAGAGAGATTCTTCTTTTACCTAGTCACATAGTAAGTGGCTGGCCAGAGTCTTGTACTTTACACGCCTCTCCTTAATTGGAGTTTGTAAAGTTTATTTCCCTCTTTTCTCAGTATCAACACATAGATTCTAGCAAAGAACCCATTGGGGGAAAGCCTAGGATTTCTCTTTCTTTTATGTACTGCCTTTACCTCCTCTACACCAGAGCGTGCCTAGTAAGGTGCTCAGCAAACATGTGGGGCCAGAGGCAATACCCCTTCATGCTGCCACTGTGGGGCTGGGTGAGAGGCAACGCAGGCTTGGGTGAGGTGGATTGTGTTCCTGCTGCTGCTGCTGCTGCTGCTGCTAGGTGATGGGAGTAACTCCTTTGCTAGTGTTTTGCCTCGAAGGCATTTTCCATTTTCTAGCTCCCTTCCAATCTTTATCCCTCACCTCTCGCCCCTCAACTTCAGCTCAGTCTCCCAGGGAGCTCCCTTGCCGAGGGGCTGACAGCGCTTGGGGGCGCGGGGTCCCGGTTCTCGGTGCTCTGGACCATCTGTGCTCAGAGCCTCGTTCCCGGGCGCCTGGAGCCCGGCGAGCATTGACGTCAAGCGGCGGCGGAGCGCTGCCTACAGCGGTTGACCCGTACCCTCCTCTACTCCCCTTGCTTCTTCGCCCCCTCCCTCTTCCCTGCGACCGGCTCTGTCTTGCTATAAAAGGCGGGAGCGCGGGGGTGGCGTAGTGCCGAATTTCAGCACCATGGAGAGTCCCCGCCTGCGGCTGCTGCCCCTCCTGGGTGCCGCCCTGCTGTTGCTGCCACCTCTGCTGGGCACCCCGTCCAGGAGGACGCTGAGCTGCAGCCCCGAGCCCTGGACATGTACTCCGCTGCGGAGGACGCCTCTCACGAGAAGGAACTGGTCGGTATCCCCCTGGTCCCCGACTCCCTGCGCTGCCACGCGGTCCCTTCCTTTGTGCGCTTTCCTCTTCTCCGCGCCTCCCCATCCCCATTTCTAGAATCCAGGAGCCGGGAGCTGGTAAAGCCCGGACTTCCGCAGCCATCGGTAGATCGCAAGGAGCTCGCGGTCTCCAGGCAGCTAACCCCTGTCCCAGGCACTTAGAGCAACAAGAGCCTCAGCGGCTCAGGGACCTGCCGTCAGTGCCTA